AAATTTGTGCTTAAATGCGTAACTAGCGAAAATTGACAATCAAATGGCAAGAAATGTAAAAGAAAACGTTCATAGATGCATAAAATATCAACAGATAACAGTAAAATACCGTTACTTCTAAGAATTAGAGCAAAGCAGATGTGCAAAGCGCTCAGTGCCAACACATTATTGACACTGTTATTTATGAGTATTCTTTGTTTTTGTTGATTTTTTTTTTACATGTTGAATGTTATGCTTTCGATTTTTATATTTAAATTAATGAAATAATATTAAACATATTCGTATTTGAAAAAAAATAATTTTTATGCATTATTGACTTAGATATTTGCATCCAAAGTCAAAAAATGCAATTTTTTTTTCAGTGTGCCAACTCATTCTTGACAGACTGTACATATGTACATGTGTATGTAAATATTTATTGTATGTATGTATGTACATATGTACACATGCACATTAACGATTGCTTTTCTTTTAGTTTCTAAATCGAATTGGTAATTGATGATTTTTGCCATTTCATTTTCTTCGCATTCCATTGTAACTGTTAATATATTTTTAAAAAAATTTATAAAAAAAGGAACATACCATACATACATACAAGTATGTACCCAACTTACACTGTCTGTACATTGTATGTATGTCTATGTTCATGCATACATGTAAGAATGCATACATACCACCGCTAACCATACAATACATACATACATACATATGTACATACATATGTATGTCCATAGACTGGAGAAAAAGACTGAAATTTGTTTCAAGGCCAAAATCTGCAGATGAGCGACGAATTTGTTTCGTATTTACTTGGGCCGTTTCTTTAGGTTCGGGCAGTGAAAATACATAAATACACACATACAGTTTGACACGAAAGTTGTTTAAATTTGGTCTAGATTGTATCGATTCTTACAAAATACGACGAAATTCCTCATTAGCCATTGCTGTGCTGTAAAACCGCAGAAAACAGCGGTAAATGCGAATTTAGCAATAGGAAGAAATAAAGAATAGCATGTGTGCAAACATTTTTGTCCCACTTGAATTTGACTATGTTATCAGTTGTTATTGTTTTTTATACTTGTAAGACAATTAAAAAAAAAAAAACATACTACAATTAAAAGAATATTAAAATCTCACACTTAGCATTTATCTTAAAGTTTTAAAAAAGAGAAACAAAATTTTTTTCCCATGTGAAAACATATGTATTTGTGTCAAACCGTATACCACTATTTAACGGTAGTGTTTTTTAACAACTCATGTACATCTAAAAACACATATGTACATACATATATCTTATTGTAACATCTAGCCAAGCAAAATTATCGGCTTTTTATGTACATATACATATGTATGAATATTTAAATTACATACATATACATTTTAAATAGAATTAACTAAACATTAAATCAAAGGGATGTCAAGAGTTGTTTTTATGTGCATACATACATACGTACATATGTACATTAACACGGCCTTACTTTTAGTTCCTGATTTGAATTTGTAGTTGATGATTTTTGCCATTCCCTCTTCTTTGCATTCCAATGTAACTGCTAATGTATTAAAAAAGTAAATAGATAAGCAAACATACATACACGTAACTTACACATCTATGCATCTGTGTGTGTACATACATATGTACATACGTTAAGAATGTGTACATACATTTGTACCACCGCTAGAATTAAATTGGTTTCAAGGCCAAAAATCTGCACCACCAATATATGCTTCGTATTTACTCGGCTCCCTGATTTCAGGCTCGGGCAGTGAGTACGTGTTGTTTGTCATTGTTAGTCATACCGCCATTAAACGACAGTGTCTTTTAACAGTGCATGTACAGAATACATACGTATTTTATGTATGGACTTAGCTGCGTGCATCATTTACACTTGAAAATATATCTTATTGTAACTGGCAGCCTTGCAATATTATTGTATAAAATTGTTATTTCAAATTAGAAGTAATTTCAACTCAATTTAGTCTGTAGCATTCTATTATAAATTTTATTGGGCGTACATAGAAATTTGGATCCTAGAATTGAATAATACAACAAATTTTACTTGGTTTTCGAACACATTGAATATGCTTTCAGCTTTAAAATTATATTTAATGTAGTTGATTGATAGACCGGCATCGATGTATGATGACAAGTTACTTCTAAGTGTCTCAAGAAATTGATAATGACCCATTAAATGTTCAGTCTTTTTGTATAGAAAGATGAACAATAAGTGAATCTGGAAGAAAAAAAGTGAAAATTTTAGCTGAGGAAGATTAAAGGCGATAGTTATGATAGGTATCCCTAATCTTACCTTAACAGTTGCTTAATGCAGGTATTTTGTTTCTTTCTGTTTGAAATTTGTTGTGATTGGATTTGCAGTACTAGTAGGTATCCAGTTATCTTATGCTTCTAGCACTTCTTCGGGCTCAGACATCACGTTTTTAACGGCGTTCTCTTCAACAGGGCTAACGTTCAAGTCCTATATTTTAGAGTTTCGATTAGTATACGTTGATAAAAAAATTGCATGATGAGAACAATGAATGGGAGAGACAGTTAGAGAGATAGAGAGCGCGAATAAAACAACAAAAACACCAAAACTCATTTATGAAAAAACAAAATATATATATAAATGAAAGTTTGTCAAATTTTACCTTACACATATAGTCCGTTTATACGAATGTTCCTTATTACAATCAATAAAAGCGTTTCGTTCACATTACAATGATTTAGGTATAATAAATGAAATATTTGTATACTCGTTCACTAAGTGAAAGTGGTATAATGAAATAAAAGCTCATATATTTAAGAATTGGTTAATCGTATATAGATAGCTAAAAATAATATTTTGTAAAAATTGAGAATCACTAAATAACTTTCGATTGAACAGTCGGAGATACAATTTTAAAGTTATAGGTTTTGATCTTTGCGGTAAATCCGGAGAACTTCGTATAATTTATAGTGAGATACTAAGCATTTGGAAAGTGAACGAGTATTGAGCCGCCGGTAGGTCCTGACAGCAACGTTATCAAGAAGTTGTCTTGAAATATGTTAATTTAGGTAAGGGATTTATTAGATAATCAAAGCAAAATCGATTTTAGAGATTTATGTGAACTCACGCTTATAGTGATGTCGGGGTTATAAACGCAGTATATATGTACTTGTTGATAAGCTGGCAAATATGCTAATTACATGGATGATATCGTACAATATATTTATGTATCTAAATCAAAACACCTCGCTGAGATTAATATAGAATGTGTAACAATACAATTTGCACATGATTTTTATTTATATTTTTACTGTTATTTTTTTATTTTTCTTTCAAATAATTCTGTTTTTAAAACTCTAATTCCAACAGCCAAGTCAATGATATATAAAATCTATCTTAATTTACTACGAAAAGTAAATTGAAACTTTAACAATAAAATCAATATAACTAAATACTCTATACTTGTTGTTTTTGTTTATATTAAATATATTTTAAAATCCCTATGTAATACAACATTAAAATTTTGGTTTTTAATTCTTGTTTCAAACACGAAATCTTAACTTACAAGGAACTAACTTGAACTAGAGTTTGTCTTGTGTGTGTAATTTATTATTTTTAGCTACATCTATCATAGAACAATGCGAAATTGATATTTTTTCACACAGCTTAGCCCCTCGAAAACACATGCTGTTTGTATAGCTCTCAAAATAAAATCCATATATAAATGGGCTAGGACGCTCAAACTGAAAATTTGTCTTTGCTTTCTGAATCGTATATTAAAAAGAATTATTGTATATAAATATAAAATATATATAGAGAATGTACACAATATTCACATCAACAGTAACCAAATATAAAATTATTGTTAATTTGTTGATAGCTATAATATATATACTGATAAGATAATACAATATAATATAATATTGGTTGTACTTCAGTTTCACTTCTACTAGGTGACAATAAGAAGTTTTTCATATTCATTTATTATCTAAAAAGGAGAAACATCTAAATATTACATTACAATTGTGTTCTTATATTTTTTGACAAATTCAAGCGTGACTTGTGGTGGTTATTTCTCTTTAGTGTCTAAATGAAGAAAAAATAAATAAATAAATAAGAAGAGTGTTAGGAAACGAATACAAATCATTGTAATTTAATGTAATCAAAAAGGAAATAGTTACATTAAACTTGAGCTCGAGAGTGGTATGATATGACTAGGTAAGAAGCGTATATAAACACTGAAGATATGACTCTCAAGTGCTTATATACATACATATATTCCAAAAAGCCAAGTAGAATCCGTTAAAACTTCGATGCATTTGTTAGATATATATTTTCTTGTTATCAGGAGAGTGAGCAATAATAAATATTGTTTATATTGTTTGAGGATCTTCTTTACTTCGTCCAAAAATATAATTGTTCTTTAATCAAATAAAATGTATTAATCTGAGAAAAATTTATCTACTTGGCAGTGGAACATATGAATATAGGTTGATAGTTTAAGAAGTTGGGTGGATTATATAATAATCATATTTTATATATATTGTAGATCCGGTTGGGGAGTTTTCAGATTCTGACTCATTTCATTTTATTTAAATGACATCAAGGTCTATTTGGACGAATTAAAAAAACACAGAAACAGAAACAAACATAAAATTGATTTGAATGGGAACTAACCAAAACTGGGATTAAATAAATGGGAATACTAATATGGCATAGTTGAACGTAGTAAGAATTGTCTAATAATGTTCTACTTATTATCTACGAGGGTCTGGTGCAACATCTCCTCAACAAATTAAATAAAATCACAGGTTTGCTTCTTAAATAACAATTTTGATCAATAATTATGTATATATATGTATATATCGACCCTGTATGTAATCTGAATTTGGAACAGTCGTATGCACAATACCTGCGCGTATAATAAACATTAACATTTACCTAAATTGCTAAAAATTATATATAT